GTGCTGCTATGGTTCCATCGGCATCCCCCGCACATTCTAGGGATGCAAGCCCCGTGAGCAAAACGACCCTGTGCCAGAAGACCGTCTTGGGCCATCTTGTGGCCCCCTGAAATGAAAGAGGCCCCTCATGCAGCCCACACACTAGCCTACGTTACCCATTGCTGCTCTGGTTGGATCCTGGCTCCGAAACTTGGCGATGGGACAGGGACTTGGAGTCCAGGCTGTCCAAATCTCTACATTGCTCTTTCTAGCCTGTCAGTGGAGGTTGGTGCCAAGCCCCACTGCCATGGTATTGGGATGGGATTTTTTTTGCTGTGTATGCACCTCAGAGTTTACAGTCCAGATCCTCACCGGTAAAGAGGCTTCTAATTTCCACTGATATAGACTCATAAAGCTGAAAGAGACCTCAGAAGGTCAAGTCCAGCCCCTTGCCTAAGCCAGGACCAATCCCAACTAAATCAACCCAGCCAGGGCTTTGTCAAGCTGAGACTTAAAAACCTGTAGGAATGGAGATTCCACCACATCCCAAGGTAACCCATTCCAGTGCTTCCCCACCCTCCTAGTAAAATAGTTTTTCCTAATATCCAATCCAGACCTCCCCCACTGTAACTTGAGACCATTGCTCCTTGTTCTGCCATCTGTCACTACTGAGAACAGCCTCTCTCCATCCTCTTTGGAACCTCCCTTCAGGAAGTTGAAGGCTGCTATCAAATCCCCCCTTGTTCTCTGCTGCAGACTAAACAAACCCAAATCCCTCAGCCTCTCCTCATAGGTCATGTGCTCCAGCCCCCTAATCATTTGGTCGCCCTTCTCTGGACCCTCTCCAATGCATCCACATTCTTTCTATAGTGGGGGGCCTAGAACTGGACACAATACTCCAGGTGTGGCCTCACCAGAGCCAAATAAAGGGGAATAATCACTTCTCTAGATCTGCTGGCAATGTTCCTCCTAATGCACCCTAATATGCCATTAGCCTTTTTGGCTACCAGGGCTCACTGTTGACTCATATCCAGCTTCTCATCCACTGTAATCCCCAGGTCCTTTTCTGTAGAACTGCTACTTAGCCATACGGTCCCCAGCCTATAACAATCCTTCGGATTCTTCCATCCCAAGTTCAGGACTCTACACTTGTCCTTGTTGAACCTCATCAGATTTCTTTTGGCCCAATCTTTTAATCTGTCTAGGTCACTTTGGACCCTATCCCTGCCCTCCAGTGCACGTAACTCTCCCCTTAGCTTAGTGTCATCTGCAAACTTGCTGAGGGTGCAATCCATCCCCTCATCCAGGTCATTCATAAAGATATTGAATAAAACTGGCCCTAGAACTAATCCGTGGGGCACTCCGCTAGAAACCAACCACCATCCTGACATCGAGCCATTGATCACTACCCATTTGGCCCAACAGTCTAGCCAGCTTTCTATCCATCTTACAGTCCATTTATCCAATCCATACTCCCTTAACTTGCTGACAAGAATATTGTAGGAGACAGTATCAAAAGTTTTGCTAAAGTCAAGGTATCCAGTGACTTTCCCATATCCACGAGCCAGTTACCTCATCATAGAAGCTAATCAGATTGGTCAGGCACAACTTGCCCTTCATGAATCCATATTGACTATTCCTGATCACTTCCCCCTCTTCCAAGTGCTTCAAAATGGATTCCTTGAGGATCCCCTCCATGATTTTTCCGGGGACTGAGGTAAGGCTGACTGGTCTGTAATTCCCTGGATTGGCCTTCTTCCCTTTTTTAAAGATGGGCACTACATTTGCCTTTTTCCAATCATCCAGGATCTCTCACGAGCTCCACGAGTTTTCAAAGATAAATGGCCAAAGGCTCCTCAATAACATTTGCCTACTCTGTCAGTATCCCCTCGGATTCATTAAATCTGGGCCCATGGATTTGTGTATGTTTAGCTTTTCTAAATAGTTCCTAACTTGTTCTTTCCCCACCAAGGGCTGTCCACCTCCTTCTCATACTGCGTTGCCTAGTGCATTAGTCTGGGAGCTGACCTTGTCCGTGAAGACAGGCAACGAAAGCATTGAGTACTTCAGATTTTCTCACATCATCTGTCACTAGGTTACCTCCCTTATCCAGTAAGGGCCCCACACCCTCTGGCTGCATCTAGACTGGCATGATTTTGCGGAAATACTTTTAACGGAAAAGTTTTTCTGTTAAAAGTATTTCCACAAAAGTGTGTCTAGATTGGCAAATGCCTTTGTGCAAAAGATTTGCTTTTGTGCAAAAGCATCCGTGGCCAGTCTAGATGCGATTTTGCACAAGAAAGCCCTGATCACCATTTTAGCCATCGGGGCTTTTTTGCGCAAAACAGTTCTTCCCTGTCTACACTGGCCCTCTTGCACAAGTATTCTTGTGCAACACTTGCGCAAAAGGGCTTTTTCCCGTACGGGAGCATGAAAGCATTTGTGCAAGCAGCACTGATTTTGTACATTACAAAGTCAGTGCTCTTGCGCAAATTCAAGTGGCCAGTATAGACAGCTGGCAAGGGTTTGCGCAAAAGCACCTGCTTTTGCGCAAAATCTTGCTAGTCTAGACGCACCCTCTCTGATCAGTCTCTTATTGCTAACATACCTATAGAAGCCTCTTATTACCCTTCACGTTCCTTGCTAGCTGCAATTCCAGTTGCGCTTTCGCCTTCCTGATAACTCCCCTGCATTCTCCAGCAATATAGTTATGCTCCTCCCTAATCATCTGCCCAAGTTTCCACTTCTTGTAAGCTTCCTTTTTGTGTTTAAGCTCACCAAAGATTTCCACGGTCAGCCAATCTGGTCACCTACCATATTTGCTTTTCTTACTGCTCATCGGGATGGTTTCTTCCTGTGCCTTTAATAAGGCTTCTTTAAAGTACAGTACTGTCACTCTCCTGGACTCCTTTCCCCTTCACGTTAGCATCCCAGGGAATCCTGCCCATCAGTTCTCTGAGGGAGTCAAAGTCCGCTCTTCTGAAGTCCAGGGTGTGTATTTGCCTGGCGGTAGCTTTGAGGTGCTCTCTCTAAACTCTGTGAGGCTGGACTATCAGCAAGAGAACCTGGGACAAGCAGGGGTAAGACACGTGTACACTTTTCCAGTGGGAAACTGACCAGCCACTCTGCCCCTCAGCGCTGCCTCCAGATCCGCACGGACCACGGGGCCTGGCCACTTTTCCATGGAGTGGGACACATCTCGCCCCTGCTCCAGCCCCTTGCAGTCAGAATGAGTCACCAGCCACAGTGCATTGGAATCGCATCACCTCCTCCTCGTCCCCACCCGGGCAGGCGAAGCCATTAGGGACTCGGATGACATCACCGCTTGGCGCTGAGTCACGGTGCAGGCAGATGGTGGCAAGGGGGGCCGGGAATAGCACTTGGCTGCTCCCTCAGTGTGATCAATGCAGGCCGAGCAATCACAGCTATGTAGCAGGCGGCCCGAAGTGCGACTGTCTCTCCCACACGCCGCTTGGAGCATTATTTGTGTGTGTGGGCTCTGGGCAGAGCTATGCTAGTGAAATATCCTGCCTAGAGTCAGTCATCCTCAGCAGGCAGGGCCCCACTGTGCTCTGCAAACACCACACGGGCGTGGCTCATCCACCAGGGAGTCAACTCAGGGGCTAAAAGCAGGAGAGGAAGAACCACCACTCTGAAGTGGGAGTTGGAACGGCGGCTCCCGAGGGTTTAGCCCAGCATGGGGGGGAAACCTGAAACGCACACTCTCTTGTGGGTTACAATTGCTCCATCTGGCACTGAAATGCAGCTACTTCTAGGGCGGAGCATGACCGCTGTTTGAGGACAGCCAGTCACATTGCACTGGGCGTGTTTTGCCTGATGCTGAAATGCAGCCACCTCTAGGGTGGAACGCACCAGCTATTTAAAAAAAAACCCTCAGCACGCAGCAGTGCTCAGAGGTGAACAACAATCAGGAGTCAACTTCTCCATGGATTTAAGTGAGCATAGCCAAGGCAGCTTTGCCACGGTCAACCAGCTGAGCCTCACTAATACAGCCCCTTGTCAGTAAGCCAGGGTAGGTGGGGCATTCACCAGAACACTGATTTTCCTGGACCTCACAGCTCTGGAGTCTGGACTAGTTTGGAGCAAGCCCCAGGTACCCATAATAGATGGGTGTTTAAATCCACCTGTTGAATAAAAAGGCACCCACTCCCCCCCTCCCCAAAACCCAGCAAGTAGCACCACCTAGCGGCCACAAGGGCATACAGCAATTTGGTATTTCCCCTTCAAGCTCCCTTAGCAGTTGCTGGAGTGACAAGTGACAGGTGTTCAGGGCCCTTAGCACACTGCCCCTGCTGCTGTCCAAGAAGCACTGGGTGGGGTCTGCCGGCCACTCCATAGTTGCCCAGTTGGCATCCTTCCCCGCCACCATGTTCCAGTCGAAATAGGAACCTTAACGCTTCCTCCAAATCATCAATGCTGGGGAGACCATGCCATGGCGTGCTGGGTCTTTCCCCTCACTCCAGAAAGCACTGGCCACTCAATGGAGATGTCCACATGGAGGATAACAGCCTACTACTGCTGCCCCTTAGCGTTGTCTCTCTGAGCTGGAGAGGCTCTTGGCTTTCCATGCTGCGGGTCCCAGAGGTCAGACCCCTCCCCCCCGCCCCGTGACAGAGGGAGAGAAGAGGCAGGGCCAGATGTTAGATATTTTATTTAAACATTTCTTCACACACATTCCACAGCAACCAAGTGGAGAGCAGACCTTTAAGGGCTCCATATTTACACAGCTTGGGGGAGGTTCAGAGTCACACACAATCCAACCACAGCAGGCAAAGGAGGGGAAGAAGCCACCACCAGTCTCCCCTCCTCCTGGCCTATCAGCAGTGGTCACCCAAGCAGAGAGGTTGTGAGGGTGGAAAGTGCATCAACTTCTTCCCGTCTTGAGTCCAGGGCTCTGCCAGGGACTGCAAAGATCAGCACCGGCTCCCAACTCCAGGCAGGAAACAGCCTCGGCTCCGGGGGTGGAGTG